CACTTTTCTGTTGTCCAACCCCTGGGAGGGGGTTATAGGTAGACGTCGAGAGTTCTTATAACAGTTCATACATCAATTGTATTAAGCATATTTGTACATATGTTGCCATCATCATTTCCACAACATTTTCTTTTTACTTGAGCCCTTGATAGCAGCTCCTCTTTTTTCCCCCTCCCTCCCCCACCCTCGTGAACCCTTGATAATTTATAATTTATTTGCATATTTTACACCTCCTTCTGTTTCCCTTGACACCTGTTTCTGTTGTTCGTACCACTTTTTGGGGGGGTGGGGGGTGCAGTTATGTCGATCATTGTGATCAATTACCTCTTTTCGTTCTACCCTCCTGGTATCGCTACTCACATTATTGGTCCTGAAGGGTTTGTCTGTCCTGGATTACATGTGTCCAGAGCTCTTATGTGTACCCGTGTACATGCTCCGGTCTAGTCGGCTTTGTAAGGCAGAACCAGGACCATGAAAGTGGTGGGGAGGATGCATTAAAGAAGTAGAGGAATGTTGGGTGTTCTTTTGGTGCTGTGCTGCAACCTGACTGGCATGTCTCTTCCTTGTGACCCTTCTGTGAAGGGATGTGCAGTTGTCTACAATGGACTTTGGGTCTCTGGTTCATACCCCCTAGTTCACAACGAAATGGTTGTTTGTTTTGGGTCTTATGATACCATCGACAGATCATGATCACATTGGTTGATGTGCTGTTTCCATGTGGGCTTTGTTGCTTCCCTGCTAGATGGACGCTTGTTTGTCTTCAAGCCTTTAAGATATCAGATACTGTATCTTGGTAGCCAGGCACCATCACCTTTCTTCATCACATTAACTTATACATCCATTTTGTCTTCAGTGATGGTGCCAAGACGGTGAACATCACAGAATGCCAGGTTATTGGAACGAAGTGTTCTTGCTTTGAAGGGGGTCTTGAGTAGAGGCCCAGTGTCAGCCCCCTACCTTAATACTTAACTGATAGATACATGTACAAAGACCTATATCCTTACTGTTATGTTTTAATGTATTTACATATGTACGGAGCATGACACTCTTGCTCTATGCCTTAGCAGGGATGCACTTATCTCCAGCTTCCATAGATCATCAAACCAGCTCCTCGGCTAAGTGCATAGGGGCACCTCATTCCATAAATTGGCCTTCTTCCCCAAAGCACTCAATCTTACTTGCGTTATGGGCTGAGAAATTCACCACTCTGTGTCATGCTCTGGCTTCTGAATTTGCTGTTGCTGTTTTTCTGCCTTTTCTATGGTTTCAAAGTTGTCTGCGGGATCAAGAAGGGTCAATGTGAAAAGACTCCAAACGACGTGCTCCACTCCTAATTCTCTTGCTGGTAGTAAGACTCCACTTCCTGCTTTTGCGATGACTCATTTTAGATCCAGTAGGATGGCAATTAATTGTTATCAATTACACTGCTAATTATTTAATCCAATCAGTATCTTGCCTCGCTTTCTTACCCAAACCCATTAGGAAGCAAAAGTTTTTTGGTGGGATTAGAAAAGGCCACAGGTATATGAATCATTAATTAATGTACTGCATTGCAGTGAGTTACTTTGTTCCTTCATGCTATAATTTTTATACATTAACAGTGTCTTTGGAAGGAGCATATGAAAGATTGATTTATTATTTTTTTAAGATCATTTTATTGGGGGGCTCTTACAACTCTTGTTATAATCCATACATCAATTATATCAGACATATTTGTACATATGTTGCCATCGTTCTTTTCTAGACATTTAGTGTCTATTGAACCCTTGGAATCAGCTCTTCTTTTTTCCCTTACCCCTCCACCACCACCACCACCACCCTTGTGGCCCCTTGATTGATTATAGATTGTTATTATTTTCATATCTCATACTGACCGCTGTATCCCTTCCCCTCTGGTTTCAGTTGTTCTTCCCCCTGGAAGG